ACCAGACAGAAGCCTCCCAGCGGAAGGAAGTGTGGCGGGCACAGCTGCCCTCACCCTCCTGCCCACCCGGCGTGGACAGCCGGCCCCGCCCCACCGTCGAGACCACGCCCCTGGCGGACCACAGGAATACCTGAGCCCAGGTGCTGGCCACCCGCCCACCTGCCTTTGGCTCACCTGCCCAGGCCGCCCCCAACCCTGTGCGCTCCTTGGCTCACAGGGTCTCCCACAGGGACAGTGTGGCGCCCCCATTACCCGCGTTCCTTCCCCGGGACAGTCACAGACCTCGGGAGGGGCCCCAGGCGGGACCTCTCTGAACCTGGGGCCAGGTGTGACCAGCAGGACCAGGGAGGGGGCTCGGCCTGCCCACCTGGCGCCTCAGGGAGGCACCTTCGCCCAGGCGGAGGCTGTGCCTGGCGGCTCCTTAGGGCCGAGGCTCCACCTGGGCGGATGGGCTGCTCGGGGCCCTTTGCTTGGACCCCCTCCTGGGAACAGGAAGCCGTGTCCCCAGACCGGGGACGGGCACGCCAGCCACAGCCATCCCAGTGCACCTGTGACCTGCGCACACCTGGGGGCCACGGCTCCATGAAGGGGTGACTCCACCTGAGCAGCCGGGGTCCAGAGGCTGGGCCCAGGGAGGGTGGTGCCAGGGCCCGCCTAGCAGGGGGTCAGAGCCGGCGACAGGCATGGGAGTGTCCTTGGTCCAGAGGCAGAGGGTGACCAGTGGTGGGCCCGAGAGCAAGGCTGCAGCTGGAGAGGCCCTCACGGGGTCTGGTGGACAGAGGCCACAGCACAGGACAGTGTCCGAGGGGCGACCCTTCGCGGAATGGGCTGTATAGAGCGGGGACTGGCGCTGGGGCTGGGCTGGAGGGGGTGAGGGCAGCGGAAAAGCTCCAGTCATGTGACCTCAGCAGTCGGGAGCGGGAGGGAGGCCAGACCTGAGACTCCATCTGTGGGTCAGTGCCCAGGTCTGGGCCCACGTACCATCCTGACCATGGCCAGACCGGTCCTGCCCAGCTCTCTGAGGCCCAGG